CCTCTTCACATATTCCCAAAAGTTTAACCTCTGTAAGATTTCATCACTCATAAGGATGTAGAAGAAATGGAGTGAGGTTTGGGACAAAGTGAAGAGAAACAGAGCATCGAATTGTACAGCCAGGGTCTCACAGAGAATGTCAACACCAGAGTTTCAACCCAAGCAGTCTGACACCACAAGTGATCTCTCAATATTTCCCCCAACCCCAACCCTGCTTCCCCACCCTGTGGAGGAACCAACTCCACTGTGAGGACAGTGCCCTCTGGTGGGAGGGGCTCACGATCTGGGGTCAGACGGAGCTGGAAAAACTACTCGACTCTCTAAGCCTCAGTGTTCTTTTCTGGGCAAATGAAGTGAGAAAATGTTTGACTAAGCGGTTCGCAACTGTGGAAATCTGAGTTATGACAATTCTTACTGTTTGGGCATCAACCCCTTTTTCTCTAAACCTGAGTTTAGCTTCCCTCCGGGGTAGAAACCTGCAATTTCTGTCTCTGGCCAGACACTGGAAGAATTCTCAGAATAAGCAACCTATCTGGGTAACCGGAGAAGTAGGAAGTCCAGGCTGATTTCCTGAATCCAAAGGAGACCGTTTTGACCTTGAGATACCCACCATATCAGAGAAGGAGATGGTAAGGCTAAAACCAAGCTTCCTTTTTTTTTTTTGCTTGAGGAAGATTGTCCCTGAGCTAACCTCTGTGCCAATCCTCCTCCATTTTGTACGTGGGACGCCGCCACAGCATGGCTTGATGAGAAGCATGTAGGTCCACCCCCGGGATCTGAACCGGCGAACCCCAGGCTGCCAAAGTGGAGCGTGTGAACTCAACCACTATGCCACTGGGCCGGCCCCAAAACCAAGCTTCCAGAAGACTATTTTGGAGTTTTATATGTGTTATACACTCATATTTACTGCACAACACTCTTCCAAGTTCAACAACTCCCTTCTGTTAAGATCAAGTGTAAAGAAAGGCGTGTAATCAAGAAAGGAAAAGTGCTACATTCTAACTCAGTGAGGACATGTTTGTCTTCAAAGTACCTAAAAATCTACTGCTCTTACCATGGGGGAAAAATAGAGAAAAACGTGCAAGAGCCCTCACCTTCTCACCAACCCAAGCACAGCCCAGATGGTTCCAAAGGGAAATTCTATCAAAACTTAAATAGATAATTCCAACGGATTTAAAAGTGTTTCAGAACTTAGAAAATAAGAAAAACTTCCAAGTTATTTATATGATGTAATAATATTAATATCTAAAAGTAACAAATATTGCACAAGACAATGACACAGCAATCTCACCTATGAATACTAATACAAATATCTTTAAAAAAGAAGCAGAGATTCAGAAGCACACTGAAAGGATTATACCTCATTTGTAAATAAGGATCATCTGAATAATGCAAATCATGCATTATCAATAACTCTAGGGCTTCCCGGTGGCATAGTGGTTAAGTTCAGCACGTTCCACTGCGGTGGCCCGGGGTTCACAGGTTCGGATCCTGGGCGCAGACTTACACCACTCACCAAGCCATGCTGTGGCGGCACCCCACATACAAAATAGAGGAAGATGGGCACAGATGTCAGCTCAGGACCACTCTTCCTCAAGCAAAAAGAGGAAGATTGGCAAGAGGTGCTAGCTCAGGGCCAATCTTCCTCACCAAAAAATTAACATGAAACCCTGAAATTTCACAATGTTAACAAATATCAGGAAATTGAAAAAAAAAAAAAAATAAAAAAAAAAAAAAAACAAAAACACCCAAAAATCTCTAAATGTGATTCATTATGGTGGTGGATATAAAAATAACCCTAGGATCACCTTCACAGATTCTTAAAAGGGCTTTGACAAAATCCAACAACCACTTTTGATAAAACACACACACACACACACACACACACACACACACACACAGAGTAGTAGATGGATATGTGAAGAATTTCCCCAAAATCAGGAATAAGACACGGATGCTTCACTATCATTCACATTATTTTACATCAGACAGAAGGTACTAGCCAAGGAATTAATAAAGAGGAAGAAGTTAGAGGTATAAAAGTTGTAAAAGAGGCAATATCATCACTATTTCCATATGACTTGTTCCTCAGCTAAGATAACCAAATGAAAAAGTACTATAAACAATAAGAAAACAGTATGTTAACAGACTACCAAATAAATATGCAGAAATCAATTATTTTCAAATAGCCAGGCAAGTTTTTAGAAAATATAACAGAAATAATCCTCATTTACTATAGGAAAAAAATAAAAGAAAACATCTAGGAATAAATGACTAGACCTGTGAAAGACCTACTTTAGGAACATTAAGGACAAACATTAACACTCTTCAGAAGGATACAAAGGAAGTCTTTAAAAAAATGGAAAAAGAAGTCATTTGGATAGGAAGACTCGGTACCTTAAAGAGAGCAGTTACCCCTGAGTTAATGAAGTATAATGTGATTCTAATAAAACAGCTTTGTTTGAAAGAAAGTAAGCTGACTTTGAGGCTGATGTAGCAACATAAGTAAACAAAAATAGCCAGAAACACTCTGAAAAAGAAGTATAATGAGGAGTTTCAGCATTACCAGATTTAACACTAGTGTAGTGGAATTTAACACTAGTTGAACACAGTTTAGTATAAGAGTAAGTGGCTTCTTTAAACAAAGTCAGTGGGGAAAAGATGGACTGGTTAGTAAGTGCTGTTGGAGCAACGAGGTAGCCATCTAAAAAAAAATTTGGATCCTGAACTCATCCTGGCCATCAGGATAAATTTCAAATGGTTCAAAGATTCAAATATGAACAATGAAACCACACACACACACCGAGAAAACCTTGGGATTCAAAATCTTGAAGGTTTAAAGAAAATAGGAAACAAAACCAAAAGCAAAGATCTCCATACTCAGAGGGAAAAAATGACAAATGGGGAAAAAATATTTATAACTCACATCACAAGCTATTATCATATCTCATATCATTACATAAATAGAAACTAGAGTCAACAAAAAAAGGACAAAATTATTCAGGAGAGAAATGGATAAAAGATATGAATAGATGAGGTCATGGAAAAGGGAATATATATGACTTTTAAATGAGAAGATATTTAACTTCACTCATAAGAGAAAAGCAAATTACAATGATATACCACATTTCAACTACATAGATGGGCAAAATCCAGACACTCACGGTTTACTGTGTTGGATGGACGGTAAGCAAATGTCCACGTTCATCAGTTGCTGGTGGGAGAGTAAAGGTACAACGTGTATGGAAGGCAACTTAGCAATATCTATAAAACTTCAAATAAGTACCTTTGGCCAGAATTCTCATTTCTGGAAATTCACACTACAGATATTATATACAACAAAGAATCTAAGAAGCTACTGATTATAAGATGCACCATTATTTTTATGAAAAGGCTGTATTACACCATCAAAAATGTAAGATATACCCCAATTTCAGAGATGTCAATACATGAAATGTACATTTAAAGATTTTATTTATTTTATTTTTTCCCCCCAAAGCCCCAGCAGATAGTTGTATGTCATAGCTGCACATCCTTCTAGTTGCGGCATGTGGGACTCGGCCTCAGGATGGACGGAGAAGTGGCGCCTCGATGCGCACCCGGGATCCGAACCCGGGCCGCCAGCATTGCAGCGCGCGCACTTACCCACCAAGCCACAGGGCCAGCCCATGAAATGTACATTTAGAAGGAAGCAATGCTGTATTTGTGCACATGCCACGTGATATAGGTACAAGATTAACTATTATAGCAATTTCTTTTTGCCAATAGAAAAAGATAGGAAACAACCTAAATGCCCAATACGTTCCTGGTTAAGCAAATTACAACATAACCACAGAATGGCATAAAGTGCAGCTCAAAAAAAAAAAAAAAAAGAGCAAATGTAGTGATTTGGAGGGATCTTCAAGATATGTTCTTAATCAAAAAATAATGTATAAATCAGTAAATATAATACGCCAACTTTTGTGAAGAAAAGACTGAAAAAAAAAGGTCCCCAGATTTGTATTTGCTTGCATATACACAAGGAAACTGGAAGGAGAGAAGAGGACTGTGGCAGGTACTGGGTGGAGGGGACAGACATGGAAGACTTTTCACTATATTTTATATTTTAGGGGGCTTGTGAATAGATTATTTGCCAAAAAAAAAGATTAAACCAAATTAAAAGCTGAACGAAAGAAAAAAAAAATCCAGAAAGTTCAGATATTCTCGAATACCTGATTTATCATGTAATATATACAATATTTACTTGGCTTGTCATCTGAAATGCCTCAGAAAACACAAAATCAATCTCACACTAAAAAATTCTGTTGCATCTGACATGAAGAGAGCACATGTTCTGACAATTTCAAGTTCTCTCCAGAGCCTTCCCGTCCGAATAACTCAGCTGTAACCCCTTATTCCGATCATCACTATTTGATAATTTCTTTCACCACCACGGGCTCTGTTATTGGCAATCTTTCTTCAAGTCCCAATTTTAGAAAACCATCCTTCACTTTGTAGTAAAGCAATTTTGAAAGACATTGCCACCATCCAGGGAAAAGAATCTGGATCAATCACAAACTCCAAGAATATTAGAGGAGTCCCAACGCTTTTGACATTTTTTCTGTTTTCTGATGCTTTTTCATGATAAGTTTCCTTTAATTTCTTCAACCGTGCATTGCCTTAGTATCGCCGAAGTATTCTCACATACTTTGACTTTTTAAAATCAAGTTACAGGATTGGTATAAGGCTGTCTGGAGTCAGAGGTTCTTTCTGAAGGAGTGTCATCTCCAGACTATTCTCTATAGACAAACTTACCACAGACAAGTTTTTCTTTTTTTTTTTTTTTTTTAATAATTTTATTTATTTCTCCCCCCCAAAGCCCCAGTAGATAGTTGTATGTCATAGCTGCACTTCCTTCTAGTTGCTGTATGTGGGACGCGGCCTCAGCATGGCCGGAGAAGCAGTGCGTCCGTGCGCACCCGGGATCCGAACCCGGGCCGCCAGCAGCGGAGCGCGCACACTTAACCGCTAAGCCACCGGGCCGACCAGACAAGTTTTTCTATCAGAGGATGCATAACCTCAGACGCAGTCAGAGCGACAGTCAATGTTAAGATATCAAAATCCGTCCTCGGAGGATTGCGCTGACACTCGGCACAGACGCGGCTGCCTGGTCTGCAGGCGCGCACGCCTCTCCCGCGGCGCTGCCAGCTCCCGCGTCCCGCGCCGGGCGGTCAGGCGGGGCTCCAGACCGCGGCGCAGGAGGCGCGGGGAGATCGTTCCTAAAGCGCCCGGGGCGACGGAGGCGGAGGTACCGCAACGCGGCCACGCCTGGGCCGGGCCTGGGCCCGGACCTGGACCTGCCCTTGGGACCCTCTTCCTCCGCCGGCTCCGCCAACAATCGGGCGACCTCCGCCATCCGGGCTTCCCTGGGCGCCGCCATCGGACCTGCCCCGGCCTCCGCCATCGGACCTGCCCCGGCCTCCGCCATCGGACCTGCCCTGGCCTCCGCCATCGGACATTCCCTGGCCTCCGCCATCAGACCTGCCCCGGTCTCCGCCATCGGACCTGCCCCGGTCTCCGCCATCCGGGCTTCCCCGGTCTCCGCCATCGGACCTGCCCTGGTCTCCGCCATCGGACCTGCCCTGGTCTCCGCAGGCTGCGCCGGGACTGGGACAGGCTCCCGCCTCCCGCCGCCCGCCTCCGCCTGCTGGACGTCGCTGTTGCCATTCGCCCCGTCCGTCCGCGGGACCCTGCTGCCTGCGGGCAGCTCGGACATCTCGGACATCTCGGATGGCGGGGTCAGCTCGTGCGCTCGCGGAAGAATTGTGATAGCGGCACAGCCGGAATGCAGGTGTGCACGTCAGTGCGCGTGCGCGAGCGCTCTGCGCACCCGGGAACGCTGTGTGCAAACCCGTGCGCGCGAGCCTAGAGGCTCCCGCTAAACCGAAGAGCACTGCGCATGCGCCATCCCAGGTGCCCGCGATCCTGCAGGTGCCACCTAGCGGCCGAGAGCGGCAGCACACTGAAACCATCCCCGGTCTAACCGAACGTCGAAGGGCGAAGCTACATTTTACATTTAGATCAATTTAATGTCTATAAGGAAAGTCTTACAAGATTGCCTCCTGTTGGCTTTCCCAAGCTTACATGCTAAGATGCTGCTTGTTCTCCAGTGATTATAATGCCACCTCTGTTATCTACCAAGACGTCCTAGATTCTTTTTTTGGGGGGAGGAGGTTCTTTATTCTTTTCCATTTATTCGTTTGCCTCTCTTCACCCATACCAATCCTCTTAACACTAAAGCTTTATAATAATACTCCCTTCTTGGTATCTTTAAAATTGCTTTGGTGGGCCGGCTCCGTGGCTTAGCGGTTAAGTGCGCGCGCTCTGATGCTGGCGGCCCGGGTTCGGATCCCGGGAGCGCCCTGAGGCACCACTTCTCCGTCCAACGTGAGGCCGAGTCCCACGTACAGCAACTAGAAGGATGTGAACCTATGACATACAACTATCTACTGGGGCTTTGGGGGGAAAAAACTGAATAAATAAAATCTTTAAAATTGCTTTGGCTACTCTTTGGATATTTATTTTTTTCTACATCTTGTGCAATATGACAGAGGCAGAAGAGTATACAAAATATAAATATACAGCTGAATGATTTATCACAAAGTGGACATCCATGTAACCACGACTCGAGTCAAGAGATTGAATATTTCCAGTGTCCCAGAGCCGTCCTCGCTTCTTATCACTGTTCTCTTCTTTCTACCCCGAGATGACTACTATCCTGATATTTATGGTAATCATTTCCTCGCTTTTCTTTTTGTTTTACTACCTAATTCTGTAGTTTAGTTTTGCTTGTTTTTTGAACTTTATATACTCTTGTGTCTGGATTCTTTCACACAACATTATTTTTATGAGATTCACCCACGTTTTTCATTGTGGTTACAAATAGTTCATTTTCTTGATAGTTAATGTATTTATTACCATTATTTTTATGTGTCCCAAAATATTACACATGCATCTTAAATACTGGCTCTCCAGTTACTTTTTCTTTATTCTAATTAATGGAAAAACATCATATAAGGAAATTCTACCTTTGATTTAGCTGGTGGTGACCCCCATCGTGATGCCATGATTCATGGGCATCAGGAAATAACTTTAGTGACTCATTGTTCTCTGCCCTGTCAGGAGTAGCTATGCTGAGGCATTAAAGTCTCATCCACAGATCATGAGGCTGCATTTTTATTTTCCTGGTCCAAGCACCACATTTATAAAACACAGCATCCAGCCTACTTTGTGCTTCAAACACAGCTTCCCACGAGCATCTCTGCAATCAGTATGTCTGTGGCTCCTTTAAGACAGCTCCCAGGCTAGATTGGAGACCAACAGTCCATCACTGCCACCCTCAGGCTGCCTGGAAAATCACAAATATTTAACAAAAGCATCCCCAGACTTAGGTAGTAACATATATTATTAGAGGAAGAACTAGACATTCTAGTAACTTACTATAATCCTGCCTTCTGAGGCCAAAAATCACCTTACAGCAGAAGCTGAAGGAATTCCTATTATCCAGGAATAGGAATGGCTCTAAACAAAATTATGGTGTATTAAACAGAAGTGCTCATGTGGGGAGATAACAGCAAAGATTTGAGATAGATTCCAGTTTATCTATTGCTCCCAAGACTGTTCCTGTAGCGGCTGCAGCATCTGTGTCTCTGTCTCGCTGCCAGTAGTTCAGGATCACTTGAGGACAATTTCAATCATGCTGCAGACTAAACAGCCAAGGAAGCTGAGATCAGGGGCTCCACACTAATATATTTTTTACAGGAAAAAAGTAAAAAAGAGAACTTAAACCCAGGGTCATACAATTAACATTTTTAAAGGGGAGGTGAAGAGTTCATAAGGAAAGGGATGGGATCTGCTTCTCCCAAAAGCTGCAAGCCTGTAATAAATAGCGCTAGTGGGAAATTTGTTCTTACTGTGAACAAAGATTTCCTTGAAAGCATAAATGCCCATGTTGACTTCAGAATTAAATCAGTACTTTGATGGATGGGGGACTAATCCACAACTCAGAATCTGCACCTGGCTTAGGACGACCAGGGAAATCATGATATCATTTCTTTCTTTTTTTTGTTTTTTAAAGATTTTTTAATTTATCCCCCCCCCCCCAAGCCCCAGTGGATAGTTGTATGTCGTAGCTGCACATCCTTCTAGTTGCTGCATGCGAGACGCGGCCTCAGCATGGCCGGAGAAGCGGTGCGTCAGTGCGCGCCGGGGATTCGAACCCGGGCCGCCAGCAGCGGAGCGCGCACACCCAACCGCCAAGCCACCGGGCCGGCCCATGATATCATTTCTGTATCCTTATTACCCCTGATTATCTTAGGCTTTACATCCTCTGCTCACTAGATGGGCTGAGCTGACTTATTGGTAGACACAGGTTCTTCTTTCTCTAAGCTCTGACTAGGGGTGCTTCCAGATTTGCTTCTCTCTCCTGAGATATTTAATGCTGTGGTGATTTCTAAATATGATGTTACAAGCTTGTCTCTTTTCCCAAGATTGTTACTGTGCTATATTAATTGCAGAAGTGTCCCTAGTTCTCCACTCTCTCTGTGTCTACACCCTTGGTAATGTGAGTTTGCAGCTCTCTCATCTGGAGGTAGATTCTTTATCTCCATCCCTTGAAACTGAACTGGTCTTTCTGACTCGCTTTGACCAATAGGATGTGGCAGAAATAATGGTGTGTAAGTTTCAAGACTGGGGCTCAAGAGGCATTTCATGTTTGCATTTTCTCTTGGGCTCCTGTCTCTCCCATGAGAACAACCCTGGAGCAGCTTGGATGACAATGTGGGGCTGAGGAAAGTGGGCCCAGACGAGGAACTCAAGATCAGTCAGTCCCCAGCTGACTGTTTAGGTTATGGCGAAATAAATGATTACAGTTCTTTGCTACAATGTTTGATATGACTTCTCATGCAACATTATTGTGGCAATAGTTAACTACTCCAGAATTGGTACCAGGAGTTGGGTAGTGCCATAACGAAAGGCTAAACTATGTGAGGAAGACAGCGAGGACATTGTTATGGGAGCAGGAAAAATGGCAACCCGTGTTATGATGTAGTGAAATAATTGGGAAACTGTTGCCTGTGGTTACCTAGAAGATGGAAAATATTGGCTAAGGAGATCTCCAGCCATAATGCTGGTTACTCATTGATGAGCATGATCAGGCATAGCAAGAGAGGGTGGACTTATAGAAGGAATTGGTTGCTTTTCTGAAAGAATTTAGAGGAAATATAGAGGGGCTATGACTTGCTAGTTTGGAAAAGAAAACCATTTCTCACATCCAGTCTCTCCAGCCACAAAAAAATTACCAAAGTGAAAAACAGCCTGTGAGTATAGATCAAATTAACAGTGTGGCTTTATGACCTTTTGTTATAAATACCTCCGAAAATATGAGGCAGTACCTAGGAGAAACTTCCAGCTAGACAAAAGGGTTTCTAGGAAGCTTACAACTGGGAAGTGGGGAGTAACTATCTTGTTAATAGCTCTCAAGTCCTGGACAAACCACCATCTCTGCCCATTAGCTTTCTGGACTGGCAAGATTGGCGGGTCACGTGGGCTGGTCCAGGGAATGGTCAGGCCCTGGGCGATTAGGTCTTCTACTACTGGTGTGAGGCACTGTATGGCCTCAGGCTTTCATGGATATTTAGGCAATTTAGGAAGTGGTTTAATTATGTCTATTTGAATTTTTATAGGTTCTGCACTTTCTATTCTCCCAACGTCACTGTTAGAAGTAGCCCACAGGTTTTTAGCACCTTAAAGAGGACTTGTGTTGAAATTCTTGCTCTTCTATGTCAAGGACAGATTGTGGGGAACAGGAAAGATCAGGTTCAAGTTGGTCAGGAAATTTGAAGGTGAGATCTCCACTGGGGGCAAAATGTCTTAGCCCTTTTAATTTAGAAAGGAGATCTCTACCTAATAGAATGGCGGGAGCTGTGCCACATAGAAAAAGGAGTGTGTTTCAGTAAAAAGGTCCCAGAGTCATTTGTGCTGGTCGAGATAGAAATTTCCTCTGAACTTTATTAGATATACTCACTACGGAAATTTTCTGTTTACTCTCAGGATTCGTTGTCCTATAAGAGTGGCGTTTAAAGTAGAAAACATAGCTCCAATATCTACTAGAATTGGCGAGGTTTCCCACTGATTTTAATTTTACTTTCCCCTTGGCTGTTTAAGGGAATTCCTGGTAGCAGTTTACTGGAGAACCCCTTGGAGTCCTGTCAACTTTGGGAGGGGCCCATATGGGGGCCCTCCCTTGGGGACATTCGAGTTGATATTGAAAAATTTGCATAGGACCTTTGAGGACATTCTTTTTTCCAATGTCCCAGTTGATTGCAAATGAAACATCAACCTTGGGCCATGGTTTTGATAATGGATCCCTAGGAGTGTAAGCGAGCCAAAAGGGGCTCATTCTGCTCTCCGAAATCTGATGCCAATCAATTGCAAACGTGCTGGTACTTGAGAAAGGAAAATTTATACGATTAGCTGGCATAATTGGAAGATGGCGGACTAGTGTCCTAAAGAACCATCTTAAAGTCATAGAGGGGCTGGCCCCGTGGCTTAGCGGTTAAGTGCGAGCGCTCCACTACTGGCTGCCCAGGGTTCAGATCCCGGGCGCGCACCGACGCACCGCTTCTCCAGCCATGCTGAGGCCGCGTCCCACATACAGCAACTAGAAGGATGTGCGACTATGACATACAACTATCTACTGGGGCTTTGGGGGAAAAA